TTGATTATTTCGATTTATCGGACTAAATAAATCCACCTAGCGTTAAAGCAAAGTTAACACAAATGTTATGGTAAATGGGCAGAAAAAAATTGTGGGTGTTTGGGAAGGCTCGAAAGGAAACAATATTTTTGCGACGTTTTGCGACTTTATTGTCGCTTCTTCAGGCACTATAGGAGAAACAGTTTTTTTTAATTATCAAAATAAAATTAACTGGCCAATTACCCAAAACATATATTATTCCATATTATGCCTACAAACATTCATGGCGATTCCAACTGCCAACACTAAGACACATACAGACGAATCGAACAGAAACTTAACGGTTATTCTTTGGCCCGATATATATCGATGTTCGGTTTATGTCGTACTCACACCAGATGAATTAATTTCGGTAGGGCCTGATAGTATTACCATCGTACATAAAACTCATAGTAGTTTCACAGTGTTTTGGCCCTTTGTTATTCTCACATCTAAGCGTAGCCGACATCGGACGACGTCAAGTCTGGTTCACATCTGGTGTTTCAAATTACGAGGCCGGAGCGCGAGTAAGGGATTTGAGAGTTTTTACGAGGGTTGCGCTATAGGAATCTTATATAATATATAAACTACCCCTATCATTCTTGTTAACGAAATTTAAAGAAAAATCTTATCAAACACATGCAAAAAAAAATTGTTTGGATAGTTTAGTTTGTTTAGAAACTTTTTTATCTCTTGTATTTTTTTTATAAAACTCACCGATTTGAAATTAAAAAATAAAATGTAAAGCATTACATGTCAGGACTAAAAATATTTTTAGATTAAGAATCTAGTGATAATAATGATAATAATAATAATCTAGATAATAACGTATTGCAGTAGGGTAATGTCAAATAAAACAATATTAGAAACATTCTAAAAAGTGACAGCGGCCGACTAGATTTTTTCCTAAAAAAATTACAGCTGCCCACTAGATTCTTTATCTAAAAATGTTTTTTGTCCTGACGTAATGCTTTACATTTTATTTTTTAATTTCAAATCGGTGAGTTTTATCAAAAAAAAACAAGAGATAAAAAAGTTTCTAAATAAACTAAACTATCAAAATTAATTTTTTTTGCATGTGTTTGATAAGATTTTTCTTTAAATTTCATTAACAAGAATGATAGGGGTATTTTATTTCAACCTCTTCCACTCATTTTAAAAAAGTGAAAAAATTACCAGAAAGTGTGTTTTCATAACAGTAATGCTTCCGTAAAATTTCATTAGTCTATCTCTTTTCATTTTCAAGATAAAAAATAAAAACATTATTTTTCCGCCATCTTTGTACCGCGATATCTCCCTAATGGTTAACTTTTGACCCCACGTTTATAAAGCAAACTACCCTTTATTTTGAACAAGGAATCACCCGCTGAAGTTTTTCGCATTTGTTTTGAAACACCCTGTATTATTTATTACTACTGTCAAGCTATATATATATATATATATATATATATATATATATATATATATATATATATATATATATATATATATAGCTTGACAGTAGTAATAAATGAGTTTTCATTAAATTTTGTCCTTACAACGAGGCCGTTACTCCCCAATTCAAAATTGATCAACTGAACAATATCAACTGAACAATAATTTGCCATGATTTTTTTTTTGCCTTTTTTTGGTACTAAAATTAATTCAACTGGTGTCAGTACGACATAAACCGAGCATCGGTGTACATCGGGCAAAAAATACCCGTTAGGTTTCTGTTCTATTCGTCTGTATGTGCCTTAGTGCTGGCGGTTGGAATCGCCATGAATGTTTGTAGGCATAATATGGATTAATATATGTTTTGGGTAAGTGGCCAGTTAATTTTATTTTGATATTTTTAAACCAACGATTTTTTTTTCTGCGTACTAACTACTGGCAACTATCAATAATCTTAATAGTACGAGAGCTAGCAACGTCGAATAAACAAGTATTTTAAGACGTCTGGCTCTTTGTATGGCTCTCTTTTACTATGCTCTCTAGAACAGCATGCGGCCCGTCTGGCTGCCGGTAAACGTTGCGTTTCCTACTGCGCATTCAAAGAAGATCCTATATTTTTATTAGTCCTTTAAATTCTAGTATTGAATATATCCGGGTCGGTGCAAAGACTTTTTTATTTTATTTTCGTTTATATTCTGATAGTAAAGTATTGTCAAGACTTAAATATAGGCCAACCTGGGTTTACATCAAATTGGGAAAAATCATGTAAAATCTAATTCTAGTAAACCAATTTGATGTAGATTCAAGGGAATCGTTCGCGTATACGTCGACCTGAATATGTTCTTATAATAAACATTGTTAATTAAACAATTAAAATCAGGTCGATGTAGGCGTGATATTTCAGGGCTAGCTCTGGTATAGCGACCCTAGCAAACAACCCCCAGCTAGGTCGCGACAGTATTAAATATTTGTTTTTATTTAATTACCAGAATTATTTAATACTTTACTATCAGAATATAAACGAAAATAAAATAAAAAAGTCTTTGACCTGATCCGGATTTGAACTCTGAATCATCGGTTCGTGGTCGGAAACTCTACGCACTGCGCTATGGAGACATTTTCGATTTATATTTAATACTAGAATTTATAGGACTAAATTAATAAAAAATATATGATCTTCCGACGCGCAGTAGTGAACGCAACGGGTATCGGTAGCCAGACGATCCGCATGCTGTTCCAGAGAGTATAGTAAAATATATATCAAAGAGCCAGACGTCTTAAAATACTTTCTGCTTATTTAACTTAGTTGATATCCAAGAAAAACAGGTTAATTGCATTTTTAATCTACATCTTCTATCCAACATGTATATACAAATGCAGAAATCAGTTATAATAGATACCTGTTCTATTGTTCGTAAATTCATACGACAGATGGAGCAAGCGCCTTTTTGAAAAAATCCATCACCGTTCTCCATAAAGTGCACGTTAGACGTTGCTGTGGATCACCCTGTATATCTTAATGTATCTGAAGCAAATCGTATTTAAAAGTCGAAATACAAAATCTACGTTCGAGTCAAACTCTCCGGAAGATTTTCCGACGCTCCGGGCGTACATTTAAAATGTACATAAAACTGAGAAAACGCCGGTCCCCGTCCTGGACTTTCTTCTTTCCCGCGGCCATTCCAACTTTTATTTGCTCACGGAGTCGAGAAATCGGGATTAGAACGGAATGAATTAATGCTCCCGCCATCCAGTACACTTCCCGGATCGGGCGCTCGGCAAACATAGGTATTATAAATTTAAAATGGAGCTAGAGGAGCATGTAATTCGGTGTAAATCTTGATTTTCATGCATCCGTTATCCGACGATACGATGATACGATATTAATTTTATTGGTTGAATTTAAAGACTTCGATTGGTTAGAAGATTACGCAGTTTTTAAATTTATTACATTTTCATGCCTCCGTTCATCGGATATACGATTTGCTTGTGATTGGTGTCATTTTATATTTTCATTTCCATAACGATTTCGCTGTTTTACTTATAGTCTAAGAGGTAGCAACGTTTTTGAGAGAGAATTTTAGATAGCTGCTTCTTTAATATATCTTTTGCTATGCTCTTCTGAAGAGAGTGCGGACCGTCTGGCTACCGGTAGACATTGCGTTTACTACTGCACATCCCCATATCTGTATTCAACATCTGTTCACTACTGCGTATCTAGACTAGGCTAGGATAAACATATTTATAGCATATTTAGTTTCATAAAAAAGTAGCAAAGTAATGTGAAAATCGCATCACTGTATCTGTACTCTTAAACGAGAAATCCCATAAACCACATGAAAAATACCCCGTATAGATGTGATGCACAGTAGTCTACAGAGAGCGAGATGGCCCGCATTTTGGTCAGGAGAGCACAGAAGAGCATAGCAAAAAATATATCAAAGAACCAGCTTTCTTGAAATCCTCGTTTTTCGACGTTGCTAGCTCTTGTACTATTATATTTTAATTAAGGTTAGATTAAATTTGTCAAAAAAGTGTCAAAACGTCGGTTATCGTACGATCTTTCTCCGTTGAGGGGCTGGATTAAATAATTTACGGATTAAAAGTGGCGCGAAAATGCTATGACCAATCAGAGCGCTGCGCCGTTGGGCCATCAACGGATAACAGACGCATGAGAATCAAGCTTAAGATGTAATGGAGTTAGGATTTTATACCAAATACATTAGCTTTTGAATGATGATTTACATTATTTTTGCTGTTTTTCTGAGTGTTGTTCTTTTTATATTGAGTACATTATACAATGATGCGTCGGCCATCTCTAGCTTCTAGAATACAAAAGTTAGTCGTTGTACCTGTCAAAATTGACGTTTTAAAAAAAATCATATAAAAAATCGACATCCTTGCTAAAAATTATATTAAAATATCTCTTTACTATCCTTAAAATAGAATCCAGGAAAATTGTAAATTGAGTGAGACACTTAAAATGATGCACCTGTACATTGCAGTCATCAGTTAATAGATTCGTATCAGCAAATTTCTGCGATTTTTTTGTTTTAACTGACACAAAATGATAAGTAGTTGTTAAAGTTAAAATAATTTGACAGCTATGTTAAAGTAACGTCTGGCATATCACAGCCACCTAGATTTTATCAAATAATAAAGATCTACTGACACTAAATTATGAAAATGAAAATATCTAGGAAATTTTTTGTTTGAGGGAAAGGCAATCTTAATGGTATTTTAAAGAGATATGAGTTCCCCATTTAATGTCGGAAGATTATACTGGGTGTTCCATTTAAAATAAAAGAGTAACTTGCTTTTAAATATGGCCAATGTTCAATATTATCTTGTCTCACCCTGTATAACGTTTTGGGTCAAGTTTTAATTTAATTGAAAGTACAATAGTTTTTTAACTGCATATTAGGCTGTACAGGGTAAATTCCAATTTGGTCAAAATGTTAAATATGTCAAAAACTTTTCATTTTACTCATACACTTCCCTTACATCTTTATTTTTCTCTGAGAATCATAAAATCAATTAATGTATAGGGTATTGCATTACAAAAAAACCAACTTAGAGGTGTAACTTTTTTTTGGGGACACCCTATAAAACTAAATACACACACCGGAAAAATCTAGGGATATCATTTTATTAAAGTTAAAAATAAATGTTTTGAATAAACAACCACATATTTGTAGGCCGATTCTTACTACTTCGATTGAAACGAAGTAGTCACACTAGTTATTTCTAAATTTGGGATATTTGCAGAAGTGTTTGTGCATTTTTTATAAAATGTATAAAAAACACCTAGCATCAATTGTTCGAATTTAACCTGTACTGGCTATGTTTTATGATAACTGGCCAGAATTCATTCCAATAACTGTGTTTAGTATTAAACGACATTATGGAGCGTAGACATCTTAACAGGGACGAAATGCTAAGGGCCATGGGTATGCTCGAAGCTGGAATGCGCCAAATCGACGTAGCTAGAGAATTAAATACAACGCAAAGTGTAATATCGCGATTAAGTGCACGCTACCGTGAAAGTGGTGATGTTGCTGAAAGGCACACAGGGCGACATCGCATTACTACCTCAGCAAGATCATTTTTTACAATTAAATGCTCGACGCCGACCGACTCTTACAGCACCAGAGCTTAGTTTAATTCTCCAGGAAACACATAATGTAACCGTTAGTCCTGACACTGTTCGCAATAGATTAAGAGAGGTCAACTTAAGAAGCAGACGCCCCTGGAGAGCTCAACACTTAACGAAAGGAAATCGAGAGGTACGATATTTGTGGGCTCAAAATCATGTTCAGTGGTCGAATGAACAATGGGCCAATGTTCTCTTCACGGATGAGTCACGCTTTGGAATTCATCCGAATTCGAGAAGGCTTAGGGTATGGAGAGAACCGGGAAATCCTATTCGGTTGAATCATATTCAGGAAGTGCACCCTTATCAAGGTGGAACAGTTATGGTCTGGGGAGCAGTCCAGTTAGGCCGAAAAACCGATCTCGTTTTTCATGAAAGGTTTCTAACAGGAATCACATATCGTGATTTAATTCTTGAACCTGTCGTGTTACCATATGCCAATGATTTTGGAAGAAACTTCATTCTCATGCTTGACAATGCACGGCCTCATACAGCCAGAGTGGTAAGTGAGTTTATCAATGCTCATCAATTAAACATCTTACCCGGGCCGCCACAATCTCCTGACCTCAACCCCATCGAGCACGTATGGGACGCGGTCCAAAGAAGAATTTTGAGAATGGGTATGCCTCGTGAAACTCGTAGGGATCTGGTTCGGGCCGTGAATGCAGCGTGGCAGGCTGTAACTCAAGAAGAGATCGACAACCTGATCAGGAGCATAGAAAGACGATGTAGGGCTGTAATGAACAGTAGAGGAGGCCATACCCTTTATTAAGTAAAAATGGTTTTATCTTTTTTTTTTAATTCACAGTTTAGAATAAAAAAAATGTGTATATTTTTTTGAGTTCAATAAAAATCAAGGTAAATTTGAAAAATTCGGTAAATTTCGCATTTTTATTTCCAATACGTCCTGTAAACTATTTGTTTATTTTAATTTTATTATATCAGAAATGCAAATAATAAAATTACTGACGACGGCTGGATAAAATTGTAATATCCCTAGATTTTTTCGGTGTGTGTATTTTTAAAAAATTATCTAAATTAGACTACATAGGCCCACAAAATTACATTTCAATACAAACTGTCGTTCTCTTTGGAGCCTCCGTGTGAGAAGCGCCACTCTGTACAGTCAATTTAAAGCAAAAACTGACGTCAATGTCAAATTTCATATCAGGGAATGGAAAAAATCCCATACAGCGTGAGTCTTAAATAAGTGCTAATATTTTCAGGGTGTGTAGATCTCGATAAAAGAAACATATTTTCTCTTTACAGTTTTTTTTAAATAAATCCATATAATAACCGTATTATTTTACTTTGAAATTTTCCAAAAAAAAAATGATTTTTTGCTAAAATTTTGAGAACCACTGGATCTTTTCTGGGTTTTATTTCTTTTAAATTTAATCTACTACCTATGTTGCCATATTTTCAATAAATTATGTTTTTTAATTGAAAACTAAAAAAATTCCAAATTTTCAATTTTTTTTTTGCGAAAAAAATCTCATGCTCGTGTTTCTGGGGTCCAAATATACTACCCCTAAAAATATATGCATTTATTTAAGACTCACCCTGTATATGCTGTATAATACCATTTTTTCAAAATCTTGTCTGTCTCTCCTTTCGATATAACTTGCAAGATTTTCAATTTTACTTCATTTTTACCTAACGCATTACTTTTATGAAACAAGTTAATATAAATCCAACTATAGACTACTATTTTTTAAAATAAATAACTTGCTCATTTCAAAGTACTTTTAGCTTTGGCCTGTCTTGCATCCGAATACTTTGTTCTACGTACGAAAACTTTTTACTTTCCGAGAAGAGCATTTTATTTAATAGGAAATAAAAGTTTGTATGGCTGCGAGAAACAAGAAAACCGGGCAAGACGTAAGCCGAGCTCGATCCCGCTTCATATACATTTAAAATGCATCTTCTGGATCGAAAAAGTCCGTCTCGAAATGGTTTACTGTCTCGCATTTTATTATTCAAATCCGCTTCATTTTCCTTGTACGTAAACAATAACAAAACATGTATCTTTTAACTTCATAGAAATGTTTGATAATGTATCTTACTGTGTCTGTTGTTACTTTTTATAGCAAAAAATAGTTAATTTAAGTGAATTTCATAAATGATCGGTTTACTACACGTATGTATATTATATAGTCACTTACTAGCGAAAAGTTGTTCCATTATTTCACTCAATTTTTGCCGAGATCTACCGCACGCTACACAACCATCTATTTTAGAGTCTCTTTCGATAAATCGCGATAGTGTCACTGTTAATTTAAGTTCTGCCACAATTTCCATCTAGATTTACTACCTTTATACAACTATCAGTAGTAGAATAAATAATAAATAACATAAAATAAGCTCCGTAAAGACTGACAAATCCACAGAATTTCAAATCAAATTCAAATGTGTTAAATGAATCGTCAAACAGAACTGTCAAGGATCCCCACCCTAGAGTGCTTTTATGGCGCTTTTTCCGCCCACCATGCATGAATACATGGATAGCATTATGCTCCTTCCTTAGTCTTCTTATTCAAAACTTAAGTCTTTTTCAGAATGATTTGTGATTTAGATCTTTATTTCGAAATAGAAAAAGATTACAGTCTTTTTAGGAAAGACTTTCTTTTCCGCTCTAAGTTGGTTTCCATTTTGGAATCAGTGTAGTGTTTGCTCCTTTTCTAGCTAGATCGTTTGCTTGTTTATTACCTTCTATATATTGGACTGGCACCCAGAATTGGAGGACTTTATTTTCTTGGCCTAATTTGTGCAGCTGCTCTAAGCATTCTTTGACCAACTTCGAATTGACGATTACTGAGTTGATCGCTTTTAATGCTGCTTAACTATAGTTTTTATTTACTATAGTTCCTAACTTAGATAAGTTTACTCCATCTTTCTATAGCGTATATTTTTGCCTGAAGGATTCTGGGGTAAATGCCCATTGGTTCGAAGTATTTTTTTAGTTTTCGGCCCAAATAGTCATATCCCTGTTCCTGCTTTGCAAAAAGAGCCATTTAAAAATGAACTAGTCGTTACCCGCGACTACTTCCACGTATACCACGAATATCTTATTCATTTCCTTTATAGTTAAAACTTACAAATACTCTGTCCTTATACCATATACCCCATAATAAAAACATAAACATTATGAATTTCGTGTCACTTGCCTTCGTGTTGTCAACTTATAACATGGACAAAAAGTTTATTTTAAACTAGAAATCCAGAAGAATCCATGAAGTTTATATCATAAATCATCCAAGTAAAAACAGCCATTATATGCGAATAAAATACTATACTTTATCCAGGACTATCAAAAAAATTTAGTTAATATTAATATAAGTTTTTATTTTTAATGTCAGATAAATATTGAACGAGTATAACGAGTAAGTAATGTGGAAACAAAACAATGAAATTTTCTTTATTTTGTGCGTAAAATCAATACCACCTAGACAAGAAGGCCTCGGAACAAGACGCGCGACCGCTCCTCAGTAGGCCATTAGATACACATTGTACGTATATAGAGCGTATACTAAAATAGTATTATTTTTCACAATATTTTGCTATTTTTTTTTTGTAAATTACCTTTTCTCTAATAGTAAGATTTTTCGATGTAATACTCTATGTTATATAGATATGATTTCAGAGAATAATAATATGATTTCAGAGGAAAAATAAACTAAATTTACTCTAGTACGTTTTCCAGTATCATCATTAATCATATTATATTCATTAAATTGTAATGTGTCAATTTGAGAAATAAAACAGGAATCTATTATGTTATAAATTCTATTATATATAGATATTAATCTATATATTACTAAAAATGGAGAAAAATACTTAGAGTCTAAATTAGATACAGAGAACATAAATAAATGCAGATTTTTAATTTGAAATGGTGGATAATTTCCGTTTGTTTCCTTTCCCAAGTCGGTCATTTGACTTGCCACAATAGTTTTTTAACAGTGTATTTGTGATAGAATTTATTATAGCACGTTATGATCAATTCTTGAAATTGGTGAAATATGTACAACTTCTTTAAAATCTGAAAGTGCACTGCTAATCATAAAAGTAAATGCTGAATTGGCTAAAGTGGCACTATTGGCAGCTGTTCCAACAATATTTCCTCCCTTATAATCCATATATGGTTTAATATGAATTTCATCCATGAGTAAAATCATGTGTTTTTGGTGATCTTTTAAATATTTGTATACATTTTTGGCATATACTAAAAAAGATTGTCTTTGTTCCAGAGTTGGGTCAGTGAGAAACGAATTACATATAGATTTTAGTGTATCAGGATGTGGCAATGTTAAAAATCCATGATTTCTTAAATACTTATATGCATGAGGACTGATTGTATATGATATTGCACATAATATTAGGGTGTCACCTCAATATCGATTTCTTTTTTTAGATAAAGTTAATAGTTTTAATTGTTCACATAAAAAGGACACTGATGAACTATTATCTTCGTGTTTTAAATTATCTAAAATGCTGCAAATCTGATTAATTAAATTATTGAAACTGTCTGTTTTTTCCTCTTTTGATGTTGGTTGGCTACTCGATGCAAGATTTTCTAATTTTTCAATCTCATTCACTTCTCTTCTCACTTCTGATAAATCATTAATATTATTTAAGGTAAAAGGTATTTTAAATTTATTTGTGTTTAAGGAAATAGCATGTTCATATAAAGATGTGTGCAGTTTTAATTCGGAATCAATATTTATAGAATAAGTAATAATAGGACCTGGAGATCTTTTTATTTTAAATAATAGAGCTTCGTTTAAGTTACTGAATATTTTATGCCATTTTTCAGGAAGTATCCAACTATCAAAAATTTGTTTTAAATTCATGGAAGTTTTAAAAGTTGTTAATTTTTTATAGGTCTCATATTCCTGTATACTTTCTGTAAGCGCTTTTTGCAAATTTTGTTCCTCTTGTATAATTGACTTTGCTTCTCTACTTTTTCGGTTGTTATCGGCTTTCGAAAGGTAAGAGGGACAATTTGGAAAAATTGTTGGAACAGAACCTGTTAAAAGTGTTGGACGTTGTAAAGGTATATCGACAGTTTTACCTGATTTCTCATCAAAATAAGTATTAAAAAATTTGATACTTCCTTTTGAAAAATGCTGCTCGCAAACCCTGGTGTTTTTCGTGGGCTGAAAGTTGTCTCTTGGAATCGCACGTACCCATTGTTTCGAAAGTTGTTTGCCCTTTGAAAAGGCGAAAATATGGACATGTTTGTCGTCGTAATGCACTGCACACCGGAACACAACACTAATACGGCATGTTTACTGCACAATATCGAACACCAAACACTAAAAAATATCTAAAACGCTGTAAATACTGGAATTACAAACGCGAGCGGTCAAATGAAAAAATCATCTGGCGCTCAGCAAAACGTAAACATGTGGTCGCCATCATGTCACCCTTAGATTTTACCACCTTACGGGTAATATGATTGGTCCAATCAGTGCCTTCTATTAAAAGATCAGCCTACGGGCGAGATTTATGACGTCACGCTAGTTAGATATAACGGATTAATAAATATGCTGTAGAATACATGGAAAACATAATTATTCCTCAGATTTTTGGTTTGTATTTTAAAAATGATATAGTTTAAATGAAATATACATAATATACAGTTAATAACTACAACATATATACCTATTTATAGTAATAAATACTTTGGCAAATAAACTATGAACCATACAAATGCAGCAAATGTTTTACAATGTACAAATAATGTATAGGTACATACAAGATAATGGGTAAAATGTAAATATATTTTTAAATTTTGGGGTTTGAAAATCGATCTAATTTAACAAAAACATTTAATATCTACTAATAGTGATGTATTATTATTTGCATTCACAAAATTTATATGTATATTTTGCAAGTATCAATGTTCGAAAAAATTATATTTACAAATAATACAATATTATCTAAAAAAGGCGTCAGCGATGGCTATGAACTGAAGATCGCTGGCATTTTATATGTTAAATTATTCTAAAATTTTTGATTTTCTTGGGATTTTAGGTTCGGGAAAAACGCTGATTACGTTTTTATTTGGGTTTCATTATTTTTTATTTGGTTTAAAAAAACGTTTCAAACTAACTATAGCCTTCACAGTGTTGTGTCATATGAGAAAAATAGTGTCGAATATAATCCAAAAATTACATATACAATATAATTCACACCTCATAATGTTTGCAATTAATAAACTAATATAAACTTATCAAAGATGACCACATATTTTTAAAATTATTATTCTTAACACTAAAATTATCTACATTGACTATGGAGTACGCAGTAAACATTATGTGCGTGGTGTGAATATTTTATATGCAATTTTTTGGATTATATTCGACACCTTTCATATTTTCATATGACACAACACTGATGGAGAACTATAATGTTAACCGAACCGTTTTTAAACCAAATAAAAATAATGAAAAACAAATGAAAGAATTCAGCGTTTTTCTGAACCTAAATTCCAAGAAAATCAAAAAGTTTAGAATATTTAGAATCAAGGTTCAAGAATATCAAATTTTCCAAGATTGTAAAATTCTAGTTAATTATTTTATGTGTACAGTTATTTAGGGAATGTCATCGATGTTCATTTCCAAGCCAACTGAACGCCGATTTTTTCGATGATACGGTATAATTCTTACGTAAAATGTAAATAACATTAGACCAATTAAAACAAAGAAATATGAATTTCTTAGTATTTTTAGTAACACCTTTATTCTTAAAACTTAATTTTGTATTATGCAAATATACCAATTTTATTGTTATTTTATTCATATTGTATTCAGCCATCACTTAAATATTTGATATTAATTTGGTATTATAAATAATCAATACTATTCATTAAAAATTACTGAACAATTACAAACAAAAACACATTCTTCTTTTAAACTGTATCAGTCTTGTCTTTACAAAAATCTTTTTTAAAATTTGAACTCAAAATAATAATCTTTTTCATGATCTCTAATACACATATTCTTTATTTTTCCCTAGATCATAATACCTACTTACGTGTTTGAATCTATCGAAGCTGAACCAGCAACACTTGGAGTGGAGGATTCCACAATATGAATAAAATAAACATAATTGTCCAGTTTTCATTAATACCATCATGGGAGAATATTATTTTTTAAATTTATTAAAGATATTTTCAATAATCTTGATTTATAACTCAACAATACCCCACTTTTCTTGCTCCTTCGGACACTTTAGGCTGCCTAGTATAATAACTATCCTTAGTAACTATCCTTTTCCACCAGGAACACAACAAAAGATGAGGGCATAGCACCAATAACACACTCCACTTAAGCTTTATTGATGAATTGTTAGAGTCTTAAAAATCACACACAAAAAATCACGATAAGTAAAAATGTATGGGCACATTTTTAGGTTTAAATCACTTGCACAACGATGTAATTTTTAAAATTTCTATTTTTGTGCGAAACCGGAGGTGACCATATATCTGGTAGTAGTTTATGTCACTTCAACACCAAAATAATTAGTTTTTGCACTACAATAATAAATAATACCAAAAATCAAAGAGTTAAAACCAAAAATCAACCGACAAAATATGAAACGGAATCTAACCCAATATCTAAGTATGTACAGCTGATGAAGTAAACAAAAGTCCGCCCGCAGGCTGATCTTTTAATAGAAGGCACTGGTCCAATTTACGTGGGAGTTTTGAATCGGTACAACTGGACTCGGTCTTGCGAAATTCGTAAAGTGCGGCGGCGGTGGTGCCGGTTTGCTTCGGAAATACGATCGAACATAGTAAAAGCAAAGTAAAAGATGAATGCCTACATACCAAGAAATGCAACCTCGCCCGTATTGGACAACCGGGGCCTTCTTAATATCTAGGTGGTATTGGTAAAATCGCATTCCAAGCCGATTTGGATCGAGCACAGCTTTTGTTTGGAGTTTAGATTGAGATATCCGTGGAAGCGGTGAATAATGAATATTATTATTATTTCATAAACTCATGTATAATAATCAAATTATAAACGAGTCATGGATAAAGAAAATTTATACATAAAGTCCCTACATAAACATAAGCATTTCCCGTTTTAATCCTAGGTGCTATTTTTTTTACAGAATCAAGTGCTACAAGCTAGACCAGGAATCATCATGAGCAACGAGAACTTAGCTCTGCAAGCAGTCACTCGTAGTCAAGCAGGAAATTACTCTTGCGTGGGTTCAAATGTTGAAGGAGATGGTGATAGTAACATAATCCACTTGAAAATAATGTGTAAGTATAACTATATTTACATAATGAACTATAGCTAACACTACACATTTTAGTAAATATACAGTTTTTATCATTGTTTACATATTTTTAAACGGTTTTATTTAGCTCGACCCGTACGGTACTTATTTATTTGTTTGTTTATTTGGGTCAAAATTAGAAATTGAAATTTAAGTACCTTCCTGTTGTCAGATTGATCTGAAATTTGGTACACACCTTTAGTTCCGATGACAATACAATATAGTAATATCAATAATATTGTAAATCTAAGATGGCCCCCGGTACAAAATGGCGGATTTCATATTTTTCCACAACCCCCTCAATATGGGTATCAAATGAAAGGGCTACACTAGTAAAATAGTGTGATTATGACAAAATTTAAAATCCAAGATGGACGACGTTACAAAATGGCGTATTAGGTGAGGGCATGAGTAGTCGTGTCCAGAACATTTGTGTCCAAGATTGTGTGACGTTAGAAGGAGAGATAAAAAAAATAGGTGATAAATTTGTGAAAATGTTGCGGTCCAACATTGACGTTACAAGGATTGGTAAATGATGCTATAGGCCACATTACAGAAATTGTTGGGCCTCAGTTCCGTCAAACCCAAATGTACGAAACAGATGTACCATCAGTTTGGATTGACTTTGGCAGAGACGGCATACACGTTATACACCCGAAAGCCATACAGTTTCCAGCAAAATTCAATTATGGTACGGCTGAAAGAAGGATGTTACCCTTAATTTTGTCAGGGGCATCCACCGTCCATAAAATGCAGGGCAGCACAGTCGACCATGCAGTAGTGTATTTGGGCTCAAAATTGTTTGAGGAAGGGCAAGCATACGTGGCTCTAAGTCGAGTCACGTCTCTGGAAGGGCTATGTATTGAGGAATTAGATTGTAATAAATTATCAGGTAAAAAACCATGTAATAATGATGCACTAAATGAATTAAATAGAATGAGGAATATTCGGTAGGCATTTCCGTTAAATACTAAAAACTAGAAAATAAAAAATTGGTAAAAAAACTTTTAAGTTAAACGGTTTTATCTTATGTGCACTGAAAACTAGAAAATAATAATAACAATTAGGTATTTTGAACTTCTAGTTCAGAAATATTTTAGTACTAGGCAGAATAGCTTTTAGGCATATTAGACTAAAATAAAAACGTGGGGCCCCTCTGAAATCCTACCTATGGCAAAGCATATCTTTATACTTTGGTAGATCATGAGCTCGGCGTTCGCTGGTGAAGCCGCCACGGCTGGTTATTGATTGTCAAAATCTCCAGTTACGATTATAGTAAGTCGATGCAATCCACACTTAGTATAGAAGAAAGTATTACAGCAATAGTTAATGGGCCAATTTCAAACTTATCTTAGATAGGAACTATCGGAAACAAGAAATAGCCATCTTGTCTGATAGTCAAGCAGCGTTAAAAGCGATCAACTCAGTATCAATCAATTCGAAATTGGTCAAACAATGGTAATGTGGTAACCAACTCAAAGCGGAACTCAAGAACTTGGAAGATTCCATCCGCAACCTGGAATGGAAAAATTTGCAACGGTCTAAGACACTCGAAGAAGTTTCTGAGGGCTTATGATCAAGAAAAATCACAGATCTTCCTGGGTTTAAGTAAGAACAATCTTCGGATTGTCACGGGGTTTTTAACAGGACACTGTCTCCTCAATGAACACCTCAGTAGATTGAAACTAAGAAGAAACGGCAGATGCAGATTCTGTGGGGAAGATGGGGAACACCAGTACACCTCATCGCTGAGTGCGCCGAGACGACAACCATTCGTGCCATGAATTTTGGTACGACTGATATTGGAGATGGAGAACTACCCTCTATAAAACCGTCCCAGATACTGGCTTATGTCAAAGCCCTGGGACTGTATGATGAGTTATGACTCAAGAAAGGGGGACACAATGGATCTGTAAGGTCGCAGTGATTAACCCCCCTCCCACTCATTCTAAACTCTAAATTCTAACGCCTTAAAACCGGTTAACAAATGATAGCACTTGCAAATGTCAGCCAAAGGATCCGAAAAACCAGAATGAAAAAAGATTGAAAAAGAAATTCCGAGCGGCAATAATACAGAAAAGGAAAAAGACGCTGTTTGCTCTGATACAAATCGGACACGGGGTCAACTGGAAAAGGGAAAGAAGAGAAATGCGCCATCCGAAACTAAAACATTTTCAATAGCACGCGTCATTGCACCGCCTCCGGACGGTACGTCTCGGACGGAGAGACGATTTCGCCAGTGAATAAAACGGGCACGGCTGTAGGTAAATAATGGCCCTTGTCCGTGTAATCGCGACGTTTATTGAGAGAATAATAAATAAATCCTTTGGAAAATGGTCGCGAGCAAGTGGGAGACACTTGCGACTAGTGTAATGTAGAGTACTAGAATCTAGAGTGCAATTGAGACGAATATTATGTTATTGGATAACTTTTATTTTATTGGAAAAATTGTAATATTTTTAAGTAGATTTTCCTTGACATTATCAAATGATAAATTGTGAAATAATAAGATATCTTTTTGAAGTTAATATTAATTCAAACTAATTTTTAAATTTTATACAACGTTGATGACATAGTCCTAATTGCCAATAGTTCTGAAGAATTACAAGCCAGCAATAAAATAGGTCTCAAAATAAATTTAGCAAAAACTAAAGTAATTTACAACAAACTAACGTAAATGCTTGTTCTAGAATATAATCTTAATAATTTTAAGGTTTAGATTAGTTAACGCTTTTTTCTGATCTGACCAAAACTTTATATAAAATGTCTTAATTTTTAGCATATGTCCCTCTGCATATTATTTATCCACTTAAAGTAGCTAATTACTAGTAGGATAATTGCAAATTGTTTTTTTTTCAGTCAAGCCGATATGCAGAACACATCAAAAAAGAGTCTACGGTATTGCCCGGCACGAAGAATCCAGAATTTTGTGCGAGGTTGAATCATATCCACCACCTGACAGATTCAGTTGGTCCTTTAACAATTCGGCAGAAGTAATGGAAGTACCTCAAGAACGATATAATTCAACTATACACCATTTTACATCAATATTAACCTACACGCCTGTAACGGAGCTGGACTATGGAACAGTATGTTGAAAATAATTTATTATAATATAGTGTACTTTCATAGTAATAATAGTTAATTGTGTGACTTTAATAATTATATACCGTATGATCGAAAAAAACGGCGTTAAAAACGGCTGGGAAATGTCAATCGATGATAATTTTGGCGAGGTCAATATCTAGACATCACTTATTAATAATTGAAAAAAAAATTAACACTAATTATAGAAAGATTTAAAAAGTATAGAACGTTTCCAGACGCACAAATCTATTTCTAAAAAATATACTGTAAGATCGATCTAACCGGCGTCTAGTTGGCTTAGTATGGCCCTGTATATTAACAAACAACTTTTATAATATTCAAATATACGGGGTGGCCCATTAGTCCTAGAAATACCAACATCGTCGTTGTTTATGAAGATATGACGAAAACTTTGCATATAATGGTGTAAATTCTAAAATATTATGAAAATCGGGAAACTATAAAATAGCAACGTCTCTAGTATAGAATTTCTTTTTAAATTACTGTTTTCTTAAAAATTTCGATAAAAGAAGAAAATATTGTGGAGTAGCGAAGAAAATTATTAAATGCAAAGTACTCATAGCAAATCAACTTTAAATCAAGGCGCTCGTATTCGTTATTTATAATTTTAAAACTGGAAAACTTTTCCGGGTAAAGAAAAACTCGAAGATTAGTTTTTCAAGTCGAGCAATTTTTCTCGGCCGGTAAGCTTGGCTTTAATATCGCGGATACTAGGAAACCAACTCAAGGAAAACCACTATTTACAAGGCTTTTCTCATACAGTATACCGCGTGCGTCTCAAAAGTGTCTCACCCTTATAACTTTTTTACTTTTTAGTTAAAAAACGAGATTTGGTATGTTAGTATATGACATAAATTAGGATTGATTGGCGTATTCGATTATTTTCGGACACTTCCTGTTTCATGACTAGAACTTTTAATTTTTAAATGGTTCACCTCAGTATTTTTTACTTTATTCAATAGAAAATGACACTCTGAATAGAATGACATATATGTCGTAAAAATAATCGTATTTTAAATTTCGATCTAGAGTACCATGACTGTAGCCTTGGAAAAATAGATTTGAACATTAAAAACTACCAAATATCATTTTTTATCTGAAAAAAAGTTATATGGGTGAGCCTCTTGAAAAACACCAGAAGTGGGATTCTGTAAGCTCGTAATTTGAAATTTCTTGCTAGTGACTCACTATTCTTATGATATTTTTAGGATGTATAATATAATTTTCCTCGATTTACGAAATTGGCCGACTGATATTTTCATCTCATTCGATCAAAAAATTTCTCGAAATTTATTGATTGGTTATTCGGCAGACTCGGCAAGACAGAGGTTAAAAGATCTTGCTATAGTGATGATAAAATTTAATTCAATCATGGTCCCTTCTGAGGTTCGGTCTTCCTCTACGTCTCTTAATTCCTCGTGAATACCATGCTGTAATTTTTGTTGTCCAACTGTTATCCGTTCTTCTTGGCAGATGTCCTGCTCAATGCCATTGAGAGATTTGACTCTGTGGATGACATCTATTACCTGGGTCTTTTGTCTTGTCCACTCTATTCTTTTCCGGTTTCTCTTGGTTATTCCCAGCATATTTCGTTCCATTGAGCGTTGTGCGACCAGAGTTTTCTTATGATGTCCGTTTTAAGTGTCCAAGTTTCGCATGCATAGGTCATGACTGGAAGTACGGAAGTACACATTGGTCGAATGGTTTCTTCTTTATATTCAGTGGCATTCTAGGTTTGAATATGATTGAGTTTCTTCCATAAGTACTCCATGCTAACTTAATTCTTCTGTTGATTTCTGTAGGTAGGGATCCCGAGCTGTGTATTACAAATAAATATTTTTTACAAAATTCGCTTCGCTTTCTGTGTTCAGTTAAGAGTCTACGCTGTACGTTCGGGTCGCTTTCAGGGATCAAGTAAAACGGGTGTGTGGCCAAAGGAAATATATATTATATTTCAGAAATCTGCTTAAGGCTTAGCCCGATCCTGTCGTGTTAAACCACACCCAAAATTCCAAACACACGTGCTTTGATTAAGGCTTGATTAAGGTTTACCGAGCTCCAGCATTTTCCATAAAATAGCGAGCACTTTGTTACAGAACCTTATAAATTATATATCACTGTAATCACAAAACTTCAATCTATTTCCTTATTGTAAAGGAATTTTAAATTACGTTTTTGTTTTTGAAAAAAATTAGTCCAAACATAAGGAATATTTTGTTGATGTTTCGCCATTAAAATCTTAAAAATAATGGAGTTGTCTAAAAATGTGCTACATTACGGATATAGTGTAATCCTTTATCTTTAATTTCCTTTTTCATTTGTGTAAAAATACCTAAAAAAACGTTAAATTTAGGTACTTTTTCGGACTAGTGAAATGGACTCTTAAATGTTAGATATCAGAACACACACAGAAAGAAACTTTTCGAATTTACACCGGAAAAAGAGTCGATTAAATAATTCAACCCTCTTCCGGGCATGTTTTAAAACGAAGGTCGAATTAAACTTTCAGGTTATGTGCTGGGGCAACAACTTGGCAGGACGACAGCAGGAGCCCTGCATATTTCATATCATCGCCGCCGGGAAACCCGATCCCTTGTACAACTGCTCCATCGTCAACAGGACCAACGACTCGCTGGAGGTGGAGTGTACGGAGGGATTTGACGGAGGACAGCCCCAATACTTTTTGCTGGAGGTAAGGGTTTACGTGTATGTCGGACAGACGGGTTGTTTTTATTTTTATCTAGCCTCTATTTACCGTTAACTGTATGTACAGGGTGGCGCCTCTCATACGAAGGCCCCAAGGAGAACAATAGTTTATATCGAATTGAAATTTTGGCAGCATAAATATGTGGGTTAACTGAAAGCATTTTATAAAAATATAGAGATTATACAGGGTGTCCCCAAAACAGTTACATTAAAGTTGTGTGTTTTTTAATGGAACACCCTATATAATAGTTTTTTTTTTTTTAGAAAAAAATAAAGGTGAGTTTATTAAAAGAAGCATACCAAAAATCTAAGAGTTTTGACATATTTCACATTTGTGAAAATGAAGATAAATTTGAAATTACTTAGGGATGAGACAAAATTAATGGACCTGAGTCTTTGGGAATTGCTCCTTTATTTTAAATGGAACACCGTATATTATTTCGGTGTTTAATGGAATTTATATCTTCAAAATAATGAAAAGGTTGCCTACCCATCAGACAAAGGTTTCAGATATTTTAATTTTGCGTCAATAAATCTGTATTTGAAAAAATCTAGGGTGGCTGTGTATACCATTTGTTAATTTAACAAAATTAAATTGTAGAGTAAATACTCAAGAATAATAAAAAAGATACGTTTAAAACATACTTCAATTATTACAGAATTAAAACTAGATGTAAACCTATAATACGACAAAAATTAGCTAGATGAAATCAAATACTCAAAATGCTTCCTTTCCTGTTAACTGCATAAAATGACTATCTTTTCGTTTCAAGGCATATTATGGTTCTACCTCGAAAAAGCAACTACAATAATTTCTCTAATGTTGTCGTAATAGTTGGTCGAATTTTGTAAAGCAGCTTTAACATATCCCCATAAAACCAGACTAGATACATCAGGGCATTAACTATATTAACAGATGAATCACCCAGCTATGGCAGGAATCATATCAATTCTCTCTCTGATGTAGGATAAGTTTGCATTTTCGGCAAATTTCTGAGAATTTTTTTGTTTTAACTGATACAAATGATAACTAGTTGAAGTTGGACTAGTTAGACAGCTATGTTGAGTAACATACGAATATGCAGGCACACTAGATTTTCTCAAATAATAAATTCTCAGATCAAATCACCACAGTCTTGGAAAACACACCACCATTGTCCAAGCTGAGCTATATGCTATTGAAACCTGTGTGCAGCTGCTGGTAGAACAGCAATACACCGGGAAAACAATATGCATATTTTCGGATAGTCAAGCTGCGCTGAAAGCACAAGAGGCAACGAAAGACACGTCTATGACGATTCTTCATTGTATGAAACTACTCAATATATTTGGAGATAGGAACAAAGTGTCGCTAATATGGATACAGGGACATGTCGGCCTAGAGGGAAATGGACGTGCTGATTCCCTCGCCAAAATTGGTGCAGGCTCGCCATTCGTGGGCTCAGAACCGACACTCAGCGTTCCTAAAAATCTCGCAAGAGAGGCTCTGTGAATGGGTTGGGGTGTGACGTTTCGGGACTGAAATGACAGTCCCAGAATGGAAATCCTAGCAGGGCCATCCAAACATAGAAAAGGAGAATTCCTAAAGGCCGGTAGGAATGGAACGCGTGTGCTCACTGCAGTGTACACGGATCACTGCCGGCTGAGATCTCACCTATAGAGGACGGGACTGGTGGAAGACGCCGAATGCCGACTCTGTATGGAAGATGATGAATCAATGAAGCACGTTATGTGTATCTGCCCCGCTGGGGGCAGGACCAGGTTTGAGATGTTTGGCAAAGCCATTCTAGACCTATCAGACCTAGGACATATGCCTCAGGCATAATTAAAGGCTGGATGAACGACGCTCTTGTAAGAATTGGGAAAAACTGAGCTAATAGGCCCTCGCGACCTCAGTGGAGGGTCCCCTATGGGACTATGTGATCATCTAAATACAAAATATTTTTTTTTTTATTATAAATGAAAATATCTATGAAATCTCTTTGGTAGGCAACCTTAATAGTGTTTTGAGGAGACATGAATTCTCCATGGAATATCGGAATAATATACTGGGTGTTCCATTTAATATAAAGAGTAACAGCCAACACAAGGTAATGTTCATGTAATTTCGTCTCACTTGTATAATTTTTTGGATCAAGTTTTAATTGGTTTATAATTAACTATTAGTATCGGGTAAATTGTTTAGGTAGCTTTTATTGTAACTTAAAAATTGTTCTTTATTTCTAGAAATGTTAAATATTTTTTTTTGAATAGAATGACATTATTTGATATATATAAACTCTTTATTTTCTTCTAATAATAGGGTGTTCCATTACATAAACACAACTTTGATATAGCTTTTTTGGGGCACCCTGTAGAACTTCTCTCTATATTTTTTAAAAATATGCAGATATACTCACAAAATTTCATTTTAAGCCCATCGTTTTCCTTCTTGGAGCCTTTACCTGCGGCGTATGAGGCCTGCCCTGTTATGTCGGACAGACAGGTTGCTTCTATTTATTTTTATCTTGGCTATTTACCTTTACCTGTATGTGCATCTGCAAGTCTCTGTTGAAAAGAGTTGAGTCTAAGTAGTAAATATTTTTCAGGGCTGGTAGATTTTATAAAAGAACATATTTTTCTCTCTTCCAGAGGCCAAAGTACAATTATTTTTTACGTTAAAATTGAATAAAAATGATTTATTTTTTTTACTTATTAGTTTTTTACAGGTATGGGCGAAAAAAAAAACAACGGAGGCCCTCTTTTTTGCTGTATTTCATGAGATTTTTTAGTAAACTGTATATAAATCTAAAAACTTTAATAAGAAACTCAGGTTTTTTTATAACTTTAGTATTTGGCTTATTATACAGGGTTAAGTGAAGGGTTGTTTTGCCTTGGCTAAAACACCTGTGCAATAATTTTGTGTAACATTTCCTTAAACATTATTTTCGGTCAAAACCATGTCTGCTGAGCATTTTCTTTTTTTTTTTTTTTTTTTTTTTTTTTCTGTTAATTTTTAAAACAAAATGAACTTTGCCAAACAATTTACAATTTTTTTTTTTTTTTTTTTTTTTTTTTTTTTTTTTTTTCTTAATAATAATAAGGAGGTGGCTTTGGTGACTATTGTCGTAATGTCATATCGACACTGATTGGAACTCTATATTAAAATTAC